CACAGGTCTCATTTTCCTCAATGTCCAGGAAGCCACAGATCCGGTTCTGTCGGTCCAGGTACGGCATGCCGGGCTCCTTCTGGCATCACCCTGTGATGGATGGGGGCAGGCAGGGGCAGGTGGGTGCTCTGCCCCCACATCCACAGCACCCAACCTGTCCCAGGTGTTCCGGGATGCCAGCACAGCCACTGAGCCACAGCTCCTGTGATGGATGAGGGCAGGCAGGGGCAGGTGGGTGCTCTGCCCCCACATCCACAGCACCCAACCTGTCCCAGGTGTTCTGGGATGCCAGCACAGCCACTCAGCCACAGCTGAGCTCTCTGGAGGGAGATGGGAGGGACAACGTCCAACCCACCACTGCCAGCCCCCAGAGCCACCAAACCCCATGAGCAAGGCCAGAGCAGCCACAAAGGATCTGCCACAGGGACACCAGATCCCTGAGAGCTGTGGTGAGCAATAATCCCAAAGCAGAGTGCTGGAGAGAGCCTGAGCACACTCCCAGGAAACGGGGAACAATCTGCAACTCCAGCAGAAAATCCCTGCAGCCAGGATGTCGAGTCAGCAGGGAAAACAATGACCCATCCCAGCAGGGCCACGCTGTGCCCCCAGCTCTGCCAGGGGCATGGACCCTGCCCAGCACTGCCCCTCACCCTGGAGGATCCTTCAAGGCCCCTGGGCTGCTGCAGGAGCACCATCATCACTCCCAGCCCTGAATGAGCAGAACCAGCACTGCCCCTCACCCTGGAGGATCCTTCAAGCCCCCTGGGCTGCTGTAGGAGCACCATCATCACTCCCAGCCCTGTGTGGGAAGCAGAACAAGCACCAAGGGGCCAGGGGAGGCAGGATGGGTCCCCCTGCCCAGGGCACAGGGTGGAGGGCAGGGATGAGAGCAGCCGTTACCCAAAGGATGTGAGTGAACCCAGTGTGGTTTGTCTGGCAGGAGAGTGAGTGGTGATCACGCAGGTGCCAGAAGCAGAGCTACACAAATAAAAGAACTCATGCAGCAAAAGGAGGAAATACTATTTTTGAGCTGCAGTGGAGTGGGGCCCGGGGAGGTGAGGGTTGTGCAAGAGCTGGGGTGCAGCTGCAAAGGTAGAGGAGGCAGAAAAGGAGTCAACCTGCTGTGAGGATCTCAGTCTACCACCAACATTTCAGAGATGGGTATCTTGGCTCACGGGGACCATGCTGCTGCAGGGGGAGAGATTGTTTTAGACCAACGACAGTGCCCTGGCACAAGGGTTTCTGTGGGCACTTCAAGGCTCACTGCTCTTTTGTGGGGTTATTTTTGTGGTGGGGAAGCACATGGAAAACCAATCCCTAGGTACCTTCAACCATACCAACACGTTCAGAGCAAACCTCATAAACCCTTCCTTCTGCTGACAGCAAAGGTCCAGGGATTTCTGCTTAGGAGGTGGATGAGGAAGGAGCAGAATGTGCCACAGGCAGCACAGAGATGAGCCCCCAGCCCCATGGGACACCTCTTGGGGGTCTCCATGTCCTCCCACCACCATCCTTCATTGCAAACTCATCCCTCCTGTGCACACTGACCTCAGGCTGCACTTGGAGATGCCCAAAGCTGTGAGCAGAGGAGATTGGGATTGCCCCACACTCTGCACCAAGTCAGCCAAGTTCCTGTCCCCTCGCATCCCACCGACCACAGAACACAAATGGTCTCTCTTTGGAGCCACCAAAGAACTGCACTTTTCCATAAGAAAATGATAAAAGTAGCATCTCCAGCTGTGCTAAGGAAATCCAGGAGGGCCAGAAAATGCTCAGTTTCCTAGTGAAACCTATCAGAGACTTCCAGGACTCTTCCCTACCTCTGAAGCAACTGGCTTGCCAGCTTTTTAAATCACAATATGCCACCACAAAAAGCATCCCTTTCCTGACTCTGTGAATAACAAGGCAAACAATTGGGCTGCAGAAGAAAATTTACAGCAACACCACCCCCTTGCCTGCCTGGGCCAAAGGGAAGTGCTCCCCAGGGAGAGGCAGGAGGTGCAGGGCACTGTCCGTGCAGCACCCAAGGGTGGCTCAGAGGCCTCGTGTGCAGCCACCCAGCCAGACTTTCCGGGAAGCACCTCAGGATGCCCTGCACGGTCACGGCTGCCCGTGCCCTGCTCTGTCCCGGCACAGCAGCAGAAAAACCCCGATGCCATGGGGGAGCCGGCATTTGGAGCATCGCAGCCGCGCTGCCGGGAAGCATCGCCTCGGCACCTCCCTCCACAGCAGCACCCGGCGCACCTGTGGGCAGCCACAGCGTCCTTCTCGTCCTCCCTCACACCTGGAGGAGCCTCCCTCCGTTCCAGGAGGACTGGGACGTGCCCGGTGCCCCGCAGCGGCTGCAGCAGCGCTTCCTCTCACCTGCGCTTGCAGAGGAGCTCCCATGCGGCCGCGTCTGCCCCGATCTACGAGACAGACGCCCAGCAACTCGCTCCTACTAATGGCAGATCTTTGCCTTCATGAAACTATCAGCCTGTCGGGAGGAAGGCTGCATACAGCTCTTCATCTGCCGCAAAGATTCGGAGAACGCACACAGAGTAGCTGCAAACCCCCGCCACCAGCCTGCCTCCAACCCCACGGGCTTCGGGCGAGGACGGTGCCTGCAGCATTCCCGGAGCTCCCCCGGGGCAGAGCCGCCCTCGCTGCCCCCATCGGGCACCGGGAGGGCTCCGCTCCAGCCCCGGCACGGATGGTGCAGCTGCAGGAAGCGGAGCCTCCGCCAGGGACAGGGGGACCAGCGCTGTCCGGAGCCGCGGGGCGCGGACCCTGCAGCGCGGGGGGCTCGGGGGCAGGGAGAGGGTGGGGAGGGGACATTGAGGGCTCCCAGCCCGGCCCGTGGGGTCTCTGGAGGCGGCTCGGTGGCCACGCGTGTCCCCCCGGGTGTCACTTACCCCGCGGCGTCCCTGGGCTGCGCGCCCCGGGCGGGCGGGGGGCGGCGGGCGCTGCGAGGAGGACAGGAGGACGGACAGACGGACGGACGGCCGGGAGGCGGAGGGGGTGTGCCCCTGGCTCCGCCGTCGCTTCTTTCCGGGTTAATTACGTCTGTCATTAGCAAACCCGGCCCCGGATGTGAGTGCGGGGCGCGGGGCGGCTCCGCGGGGCGGGGGGGTCGGTGTCCGTCTGTCCGTCCCATCGCCGTCTGTCCGCCTCCCTCCCGCGGCTCCGCCGGTGGGAGGGCTGGGGGCAGCCCGGTGCCCTCCGCCTGTTGCGGGTCCTCTGCGTCCCCCGGGCGGGGAATTCACCCCATTCCCGGTGAATCCCCCCAGACCCGGCACAAAACAACTCGGGCGGTGCTCGAAGCCGGCACTGACAGAGATGAGCCGCCCCCTTGGCGATTCCTGCAAGAGCATCTCTTGGGGAAGCTGCTGCCGGGTGGATTTGGGAGCAGGAAACACCCGCTGCCCCCGGGGAAGCCCCACTTTCCTCTCCGAAACTCCATCTGGCCCCGATGCACTTTCTCCCGGCGCGGTGAAACCGATCTTGGTGCAGCAGAAGATTTACAGCAAAACCAAGGCAGCGCGGGGATCTCGCTCACGGACACGCGCAGCCCCTGTCCGTGCCACGCCAGCCCCGCTGCTGCCTTCTCCCGGCATCCCGGAGGTCCCGAGCCCTCCCTCTCTCCCCTTCCCTCCCTTTGCAAACACGAAACTGTTTCAGGGTTTTCGCAGCGAGGCTCCTCTCGCAGCCCCTGTGTCCCGCCGGAGCCCACAGGGCAGCGCTGCGTTCCGGGCACGGTCACACGGCAGCGACTCACAGCGCTGCTCTCCCTTCGTTCCGAGAGCCTGGCAGCTCTCCCAGACTCTCCAATGCGTTTTTGTGCTGTAACGTGTGTGGGGGTGCAAGCCCCTGGCGCTCACTGAGATACCCCAACAGCAGATGAGGGAAGCCCGGGGCAGGGAACGTCTCTGCCACGGGATCTTTGGAGATTCCACCAGCAGCCAGAGCCCCGTAGCCGTGATATTTCCTGAAAAATCCTTTCCTTAGGATTTATTCCCCTGAGAAGCTGAGAGGCCTCAGGAGCAAAATGTAACCAATGGTTATCTGCTGCTGTGGAATGCAACAGGTGCATCTGGGATTGGGCTCATGTGGTTGTTTCTAATTAATGGCCAATCACAGTCCAACTGCCTCAGACTTTCTGTCTGAGCCACAAGCCTTTATCATTTTTTCTTTTTCTATTCTTAGCCAGCCTTCTGATGAAATCCTTTCTTCTATTCTTTTAGTACAGTTTTAATGTAATATATATGATAAAATAATAAATCAAGCCTTCTGAAACACGGAGTCAGATCCTCGTCTCTTCCCTCATCCAAGAACCCCTGTGAACACGGTCACTTCTCCCCCATGTCTCTCTCCACAGCCTCAGGTCGCAGAGAGCAGCCCAAAAAAGTCTCTGTTGGACCAGCAGGGAGGGAATCCCTGCCTAGCAAAGCCCTCTGGGGTGGCAGCAGGAGCCAAACTGTCGCAGACATCTTTTTATGAAAATCCTTTTCTTGGGATTTTTTCCTCCTGAGGAGCTGTGAGGCCTCAGGAACAAAATGTAACCAATGGTTATCTGCTGCTGTCGAATGCAACAGGTGCATCTGGGATTGGGCTCATGTGGTTGTTTCTAATTAATGGCCAATCACAGCCCAGCTGGCTCGGACTCTCTATTATTCAGTCCTTCTTTTTCTATTCTTAGCTACCCTTCTGATGAAATCCTTTCTTCTATTCTTTTAGTACAGTTTTAATGTAATATATATCATAAAATAATAAATCAAGCCTTCTGAAACATGGAGTCAGATCCTCATCCCTTCCCTCATCTGAAAACCCCTGTGAACACCATCACACACCGAACCAGCTCCATTCCGTGCTTTCTCTCGCGGTTTTGCTTTCCCTGGCAAGCAGAGGCTGCGGACGCGGTTCTCTCTCTCTCTCTCACAGCGTTTATTGGACCGGCGGCGCTGGGACCCTCCCTTGGAGCATCCCGCCCGTCCCTAGGCTAGAGCAGGAGCAGCGGGAGCTCAGAGCCAGCCCAGCAGCATGGTCCCGGCCAGGGCCGTGGCCAGGAGCCCGCCGGGGGGAGGCCGGGCCGTTCCCCCGCCGTTCCGGGAGCCCCGAGCCGCCGGCCCGTTGCAGTCGTCGCTGAAGCAGCAGCGCACGGTGGCCCCGCCGGAGCCGCCGCGCCGAGCCTGGTCACAGAAGGATTTGTAGGAGCAGGATTTAATGATGCTGTCTGCAAGGAAAGGCGCGGGGACAGAGGGTCAGGCACGGCCGGGAACCCGGCTTAGAGTGGCACAGGAGAAGGGACCCCTCAGTGCAGCGTGGAATGAACGCATCTCCCTCCTGCGCCGCCTCGTGTCCCCCTGCTTCTCCTCACCCTCTGGTTCTCAGCCCCTCTGATCCTCTCCAAGACCCTCTGGTCCCCTTCAAGATTCTCTGGGCCTGTCCAAGACCCTCTGGCCCCCTCCAAGACCCTCTGATCCCCTCCAGGACCCTCTTGTTCCCTCCAAGACCCTCTGGGCCCCTCCAAGACCCTCTGGCCCCCTTCAAGATCCTCTGGCCCCCTTCAGGATTCTCTGGTCCCTCCAAGACCCTCTGGTCCCCTTCAATATTCTCTGCACCCCTCCAAGACCCTCTGGCGCCCTCCAAGACTCTCTTGTTCCCTCCAAGATCCTCTGGCCCCCTTCAAGATCCTCTGGTCCCCTCCAAGACCCTCTGGTCCCCTCCAAGACCTTCTGGTCCCTTCCAAGACCCTCTTGTTCCCTCCAAGACCTTCTGGTCCCCTCCAAGATCCTCTGGTCCCTTCCAAGACCCTCCTGTTCCCTCCAAGACCCTCTGGTCCCCTTCAAGATTCTCTGGGCCCATCCAAGACCCTCTGGTCCCCTTCAAGACCCTCTGGTCCCCTTCAAGATCCTCTGATCCCCTTCAAGACCCTCTTGTTCCCTCCAAGACCCTCTGCCCCCCTTCAAGATTCTCTGGCCCCCTCCAAAATCCTCTGGTCCACTTCCAGACCCTCTGGCCCTCTCCAAGATCCTCTGATCCCCTTTAAGACCCTCTGGTCCCCTCTGAGACCCTCTGGTGCTCCCCCCTTTCCCCCCTTTCCCCCAGGCCAGGCGCTCACTGGGTGCAGTGATGGTGGAGCAGGCGTCGGCGTACTGGGGGCAGCTGTGGGATCCCTGCTGGTTGCAGTCGTTCTCGTTGGATGCCACGCATTTGTGGCATTTCAGAGCTTTGCCTGGGTGAAGATGAGGAGGAGGAGTGGGGGTGAGAGCAATGCACCATCCCAGAGCCCCCAACAATCCCACACTGGTGACCCCCAACCTGTGACTGGGGGGTCACAGGTGAGGGTTGGCACCAGACAGAGCCAAGCCACGAGCAGGAGCTACCATACCATAGCAGGATGCAGGATGGGGCACCTATGCACAAATTTTAATTTAAAATTTATTCATTTATAATTATTATTATAATAATTAATTTTAAAAATCCGTCCACAAAATTAATGCAAAACTCCTCCAAGTGTGACTCAAAACGATGAGAGCTGAACCTGGCAGGTGGGCTCTGCCAAGTCCTTGCCCTGCAAAGACTCCCTGAGAGTCCTGGAATTCCTTTCACAGTAAAAACAGGTAGACATAACATTTAAAAACCATCCTAGATCTTTGTCTTCTTGTGCCAGATTTCATTTTAATAAATTTTTTTTTTTGGGGGGGGGGAGAAGGGAGAATCCATCCAACCTGTGGGAGCAGCTCCCTGTAATCAGGAAATTCAGCCTGGGGGACAAGGAGGGTGACAGGCAGATGCAGGAGGGACAAACCATCTCCAGATTGTCCTTTAAGGAGCCCACAGGCAGGTTAGAGAGCAGCCAGCCCTGTGACCCCTCAAATCATACACACACCCCAGAAAAACCCGGACCTGAAGATGCTGCTCCTGCCTGAAATGAGGGAATTTTTGATTTTGACGGGGCTGGATGAGGCAGCGCTGGGGCTGGAGCTGACAGAGCAGAGCCCTCTCGTGGCAGCGGGGCCGGAGCTCCCACCTCCATCCCAGGGAGAAAACCCGGAATGGTGGGGCCAAAATTGGGATTTCATGGGCTCAGGGGCCAGTAAACACCTTCCATTAACCCACAACGACCCAGCCTCTGCTGCTGGGCTGTGTTTGTGTCACCTTCGCTGTTCCTCACTGCCTCTCATCTGCCCTCAGCTAAAAGTACAGTCGTGTTCTGTCACTATGATATTTTTTGATAAAAAATCTTCTTTGCCCAGGATTTTTCTCCTGAGAATGTAGACAATAATTATCTGATTGTTTGGAATGTGGTTTGGAGGTTGCTCCCCAACAGCTGCATCTTTGATTGGTTCCATGTGAATTGTTTTAATTTAATGACCAATCCCAGTCCAGCCGTGTCAGACTCTCTGGTCAGTCACAGGTTTTTATTGTTCATTCTTTTCTAGCCTGCTGATGTCTCCTCTCTTTCTTTAGTATAGTTTTAGTATATAATTTCTATAATGTAATGTAACATTATAATATGATATGAATATGATATGAATATACTATAATATAATAAGAATCTAATATGATATTCATATAATGGGATATGATGAGATATAATGTAATGTAATGTAATATAATGTAATATAATATAGTAAATATAATATAATTATAATATAGTATAAAATGATAATATAATATAATAAATATAATAAATATAATATAATATAATTAATATAATATAATATAATATAATATAATATAATATAATATAATATAATCAGCCCTCTGAGAACATGGAGTTAAATTCTCATCTCTCACCTCATCCTGGGGACCTCACAACACAACAATGTTCATCTTCCCTTGGTCCAAAGACCCTGAAACCCTCCAGAGCTGCCCCAATTCCATGGCATTGCTCTGAGCAGTGCAGCCACCCCCCTTTTACCACATCTTTTTGTGCTTATGCCTTGGAGGAACCAAATTTTAGCAGGCAAACACAGCTTTAAACAAGAGAAGCTGCAGGGTTTTGCCTCAGGAGCCTCCATCAGAGGCTCTGTGGTCCCTGCTGGGCACAGCATGCCCAGGCTCTGTGCCAGTGGCACAGGGGGCTTCTCTTGGTGCCACTCAGAGGAGAAATCCACCCTCCCTACCCCCCAAAACATCATTTTCCTGCAGGAAAACGGCAGCAGCACGGGGCAGGGCACAGGGACAGGAGCAGCTACAGGGATTTACCCCACCTCGTGCTGCCCAGAGCCAAGGGACACTTACTTCCTCCAGCCAGGGACGTGACCAGGGCCAGGGCCAGCAGGGTCTTCATGGCAGGCATCCTCAGCAGTGTGCAGGGTGGGCTGTGGAGCTGCTGTTTTGTCTTAAGCTCTTACAGCTAATCTGCTTGGGTGAGTGCATCAGGGGCTGGGCTAATGCCATCTTAGCTGGGGGCACAGGACACAGCTCCCCAAGGACATGGGCTGGGTGGTGGCACCACACTGGTGCTGTGGGTGCTCCATATCCTGCTCTGGAAACCTTCTCTGGACACAGAACCTCGTGGTGGCTTTCAAAGGTCTTGATCAGGCCCAGCTGCTCCATCAGAGAACAGCCCCTTTCTTGTCACAAGTTGGAGAAAACCCCTCCAGGTTTTCCAACCCACCAAAGGAGAAGTGCAAGAGAACAGCAGAAAACCCCTGGGAGCCCAGTGGAACCATTCCCCAGGCTCCAGCAGGATTTAGCCAAGGGCACAGAGGGTTGTCAGGGTCAGTGCAGGGATTAGGACAAGGATTTTTAGTGATGCTGGGTGATGGCACCACACTGGTGCTGTGGATGGGCTGGGGATGCTCCATATCCTGCTCTGGAAACCTTCTTGACCTGATCAAGGCTTTCAAAGGTCTTGATCAGGCCCAGCTGCTCCATCAGAGAACAGCCCCTTTCTTGTCACAAGTTGGAGAAAACCCCTCCAGATTTTCCAACCCACCAAAGGAGAAGTGCAAGAGAACAGCAGAAAACCCCTGGGAGCCCAGTGGAACCATTCCCCAGGCTCCAGCAGGATTTAGCCAAGGGCACAGAGGGGTTGTCAGGGTCAGTGCAGGGATTAGGACAAGGATTCTCCTGCCTGGCATCCTGCTGCTGCCTCAGCTTTTCCTGCTGCCTGAGCTCACTGCCATGGCTTAGGATCATCACAGTGTGCTGGGAGCCACAGGGCCAGAAAAGTCATCCCAGGTCTGAATCTCAGAGCTCAGAAATGCAGATTTCAGGAACAGATGATAACTGTGCTTATTTGAAACCACATTAATAAAGACAAGTCAAACACAGCCCATGCTTAGGACCATCACAGTGTGCTGGGAGCCACGGGGCCAGAAAAGTCACCCCAGGTCTGAATCTCAGAGCTCAGAAATGCAGATTGCAGGAACAGATGATAACTGTGCTTATTTGAAACCAAATAATAATCATATAAACCACACTAATAAAGACAAGGCAGAATGCAGCCCATGCTGGAAAGTCAAACCAAACCAACTCCTCCCAAAACTCTTCACCAACCTCACAAACACCAAGAAAGCTTTCAAGAGTGATAAACACAGTTTTTACTCAGGCAATGAAACATGGAAAAAAAATATATTAGTAATCATTATAATAATCTCATTTGTGTGAGTATAACTCTTACAAATATTTACCTGACATATAAAAGGGAAATTATCATACATATAAAACCAATGGCAATGGCAGTTACACACATGGCTGGAAGCAGAGGGGTGGGAGCCAATGCAGAGGAAGTTCCTGCCTGGGGGAGGCCACACTGGAGGGACAGGGGAGGGGCTCAGTAGTTGGGGGTCACTGGTTGGCACTTGGTTACAGACAGATCTGATGGCAAACACACACTGCAAACAGCAACACGGCAGCAGGGGCAGGGCCTGCCGCTGCCACAAGGGCATTTAAAGCCTACTGCAAGGAACAGGGGACAAACACACACCCAGCTGTGACAGCACACACAGGGACCTGCCATTCCCTGTGCCATTCCCTGTGCCATTCCCTGTGCCAGTCCCTGTGCCATTCCCTGACACCACCCCACCACCTGGAGGTGCAGCCACCCTGCTTGCTGGCAAACAGCTTCTGTTTTACATCACCACAGCCATGATGCATGTATTTATATCCACATCTGGAGCTATAACCATATTATAGTTAATAAATCATTCCTTAGGAATCTTCTTTGCCCAGGCTGGGGTGCACGGGACGGGTGAGGGGAGGTGGCACAGCAGGACTGGGTGGCACTGGGGACAGGAGGGATGGAGGGCTGTGCCCTGTAGGGCACCACAGTGCAGCCCTGCTTGCAGACAGCCCACAGTGACTGCTGTGTGCAGCTCAGGGCTCTGGGGAAGCGGTGAAATCTCAATTTCTGCAATGATCCATCAGCTCCAAGGGTCAGAAATGTGCCCCAAGCAGAGACTGACCTCACCTTGAGCCAGGACAGCACATGAGGATCACAGCCCTGAGCAAAGCAGAGGGCTGGGGGCTGCCACAGCCCTGCAGCAGCCTCACACCACACTGTGGGTGCTGCTGGGGGCAGGCAGGGCAGTGCCCCAGGGCCCCAAAGCAGACAGCAGCCCTGCAGCAGCCTGTCAGCAGCTCTGAGGGTGATGCAATGCTGCACTCTGCTTCCTCAAGAGAAAAAAGCCATCTGCCCCAGAAATCTCAGCATCTCAGTCTGTGCTTTACCTGCACAGACTCCCAAAGGGGAACAGAAATAGTCCTTGTGGATCATAGGATTGAAGCTTTATCACCAGCCCAGGAAGGGACATGTGGGGAGGTCAAGGGGGTTAAAAAGAAAGGGGGGAAAAAGGGTTTTTCTTTTCTTTCAACTGTGCAAAGGGTGAATATCCAGCACAAGCAACGGGTGCACTGCTTGGAGTGGTGTCAGCCACTGGCTTCTGTGACCAGTCTGTCACTGGGAGAACTGGGGGCATGGAGAACAAGGAGGAACATGGAGAACTGGGGAGCTGTGTGCTGGGGCAGGCTGCTGACACCTTTGCTAAAGTGTAGAATAAACTCTCTATATATTATATAACTAATAAAATATAATCAAGTGTATGGCTCTGGCTTAAACAGGTGTTTGCTCTGCATGCTCTGACATGGGGAATTAGAAAATAGAAGGAAAAGAGCTCAATTCTGTTACAAAAAGGTAGCAGCAAAAAGGTTTGTGAAAGTGTTCAACAGGCTGGGCAGGAAACAGTCCAAACTGCAAATATTTCCCTTATTTCACACCTATCCATTCAAGGCAGAGAATCCTCCACCACTGCAGCTACTGCAGCACCCACGAGGCACATCAGGGTTCAGTTCCTTCCTCCTGCAGCCTCTGAAAGGGAGCCCTGGTCTCAGCATGGCTCAGGGAGTCACAGGCAGGGCCCTGCAGGGACCAGGGCACAGGGAGGGAGGATGGACAGGCAGTCCCAGCTCTCCAGAACCAGCCCCTGCTTCTCAAACACCTCTTGGTGCAGAAACCTCCTGCCTGCCCTGCCCTGCACTCTCCCTGGAGAGGGCTGAAGGTGCTGCAGGTTCTGTGGCTGCTCTGGGGGGAACCAGTTGTGCCTGACTGGAAGGAGTGTGAGCAGAGAGCCCAAGTGCCCATAAATGCTCATAAAGTGCACGAATGCAGAGATGTCAGCTCCCTTCCTCTGAGGCTGGCACAGCCAGGGACAGGGAGAGGCTGTGCTGTGCTTCACCCACAAACCAGAGACCAGCCAAACCCAGTGCAGGAGCCAGCAGGTCCCCCTGCCATCCCCACGTCCCAGGGCAGCACCCACCAGTGGCTGGACCTGTTCTGCTGAGCCCATGAGGACAATCAGTGACAAGAGAGTGCAGTGGGGACACAGCTAGACCCAGCCCAACCAAGGGGGACAGAGCCCAGGGCATCACCTCCCACCTGAGAGGTGCAGAGGGACAGGGCAGCACACCCTGGGAGGAACACACAGAACTCCCAGGCTGAGCCCGGGATGATGCCCAGGCTGAGCCCAGGATGATTCCCAGGCTGAGCTCAGGATGATTCCCAGGCTGAGCTCAGGATTCCCAGGCTGAGCTCAGGATGATTCCCAGGCTGAGCTCAGGATTCCCAGGCTGAGCTCAGGATGATTCCCAGGCTGAGCTCAGGATGATGCCCAGGCTGAGCCCAGGCTGAGCTCAGGATGATTCCCAGGCTGAGCCCAGGATTCTCAGGCTGAACCCAGGATGATGCCCAGGATTCCCAGGCTGAACCCAGGATGATGCCCAGGCTGAGCCCAGGATGATGCCCAGGCTGAGCCCTGGATGATGCTCAGGCTGAGCCCAGGCTGAGCCCAGGATGATGCCCAGGCTGAGCCCAGGCTGAGCTCAGGATGATTCCCAGGCTGAGCCCAGGATTCTCAGGCTGAGCCTAGGCTGAGCCCAGGATGATGCCCAGGCTGAGCCCAGGATGATTCCCAAGCTGAGCCCACGCTGAGCCCAGGATGATGCCCAGGCTGAGCTCAGGATGATGCCCAGGCTGAGCTCAGGATGATGCCCAGGATGATGCCCAGGCTGAGCTCAGGATGATGCCCAGGCTCAGCCCAAGCTGAGCTCAGGATGATGCCCAGGCTGAGCCCAGGATGATTCTCAGGCTGAGCCCAGGATGATGCCCAGGCTGAGCCCAGGATGATGCCCAGGCTGAGCCCAAGCTGAGCTCAGGATGATGCCCAGGCTGAGCCCAGGATGATGCCCAGGCTGAGCCCAGGATGAGCCCAGGAAGATGCCCAGGCTGACTGCAGGGATCCCAGCCTGGAGCTGTGGGAAGCAGACAGGGACAGTGAGGGGAGCAGCCCTGCTCAGGAGCCACAGGTCTGGCAGCCAAGGGGCAGCTGGACACGAGAGCTTTCCTGCAGGAACCCAGGGCTAAGGCAAGGTGCTCAAGGTCACAGGAGAAGCAGCCAAGTGCAGAGTGCTGGGCGAGCAGGGGGTGCTGAGCTCAGTCTGACTTTCCCAGTTTCGCTATCAGCTCGTCGCAGATCTTGGTCAGCTCCTCAATCTCCTGGTTCTGGAAGAAAAGCACATCTTGGGGACCAACAGCAGGGCCCATCTGGCATCAAGCACGTGTGGGAAAGGGCAGCCAGGTCCTATATGTGACCCTGAAACAGCTCCTCTGTGCATCCAGGCATTGTGTGGAGCCCTGTGCTCACCCTTCCTCATTCCACATCTGCAGCAAGCCAGCCCCAGCCCACACCTCTGCAAACAGGCACACATAAGCCAGCAATGCCCATTCTGCCCCAAAAAAATCCAAACCAACCCCACAAAACACAAAAAAAATCCCTAAAATATACCAAAAACCAAACACCTTCTGGACCAAACACCTGGATGCCAAACCACAGAAAAACAAACAAAAAATCCCAAAAATCTAGATGCCAGAACAAAAAAAACAACAACAACAACAAAAAAAAAATCCCAAAAACCAAACACCTTCTGGACCAAAAACCTGGATGCCAAACCACAGAAAAACAAACAAACAAAAAATCCCAAAAATCTGGATGCCAGAACACAAAAAAACAAAAAAAAAATCCCCAAAACCAAACACCTTCTGGACCAAAAACCTGGATGCCAAACCACAGAAAAACAAACAAACAAACAAAAAAAAATCCCAAAAACCAAACACCTTCTGGACCAAAAACTTGGATGCCAAACCACAGAAAAACAAACAAAAATCCCAAAAATCTAGATGCCAGAACACAAAAAAACCCCCAAAAAATCCCCAAAACCAAACACCTTCTGGACCAAAAACCTGGAGGACACCTCTGGCATCAAGAGGATGCTCAGGGCAGCAGCAGGAGCTGCCTGCAGGGCTGCAGGGAGGCAGGGGCAGGTGTGTGGTACCTTCTGCTGCAGGGTTCTCTCCAGGGACTCCACCTTCATCTGCTCCTTGCGCAGCCCCGCGTGCAGCGCCGCGCTCTCCGCCTTGGCCTTGGTGCGCACCTGGGCGATCTCCTCGTTGGCCCTGGGGGACACGGGGGGGCCAGGGGCTGCTCAGGGGGCACCACTGCTGCCTTGTGATGTCAGGGTTTACCTCAGAACCCTGGCTCCCTCTCCTGATAACTCCCTCCCAGGTGTGTCAGTCACCTGTCCCTTCCCTTTCCGGGCCCCTCCCAGCACTGTCTGTCAGCCCTGGAATTCTAGAAGGGTGGCAAGATGTGGGTTGGTGTTCCCATCTGCACGCACATTACCACCAAAAAATAAAGTGTGAAGCTCTGCTCCTTCAGGGCCAAGCTAAACCCCCTCACCACCCACCCCACTCAGGGTTATCCTGCTCATCAGCTGGGCCCCAGGGCTGCACAGCCCCCTCCTGTACCTCAAACACGAGCGCTCGGACAGATGGGAACGCGGTTAAGTGGCCAGAAATAGACTGTGCACCTCAGGTTCTCCATTAAAAAATAAATAAGCAGAGATCAGAGAGTGCATTCAGGGATTTGCTCTGCCTTGCTTAGAGACACTTGAGCCTGAGGTTGTAAAATGCAGCTTTTCACATCATTCAGCTCCTGCCTTCCAGCCTCTGGAGAGAAAATGAAGCTGCCTCCCTACAAGGTCTGGAAGCACCCAGCAATCTCATGCATGACCTTACTTGTCCAATTTTTCTTCTGCGTGGACCTTCAGGGCCTGATACCGCTGCTCTTCCTGCTTGACACGGGTCAGATAATCTTGAGCACATTTCTTCAGAGCTTCTTCATTCTGGAAAAGTAAGTAAATCCATCTGCAATGGGACTGGGCACAAAGACATTGCTCTGACAGGATGACAGTTATTGTTCTGAGTGTAAGAAAAAAGGTTTTTAACAAACCCAATTTCTGCTTTACACTCAGCAGCATAGAAACATGGAGTGTGACTGCCAAGGAACCCTGTGGCCAGGGACCAGAGCTGCAGGGAGAAAGGGCAAACCAAGGTAAGGACCTTCTTAAATCCTTCCAGGACACCCTTCAGGTTTTCATATCTCCTGAACAGATCCGACAGGGACCTCTCCACTGAGTTCAGGTCTGCCAGAGCCTGGTCCTTTTCCATTGTGAGCTGCTGCAGGTTCTTCTGAGATGTCATGTTTGTCCTCTGCTCATCCTCTGGCACGGAGAACAAACAACAGGGACACAGTGACTGGGTGGGGACAGCTGTGGCAGCCAGCTCCCTGCCCTGCACACCTGGCCAGCTGGCAGCACCTTACCTATCATCTGGGCAATGGTCTTCTCATACTCAGCCACGATTTTCCTAGAAGGAAGAGAAAAAACAAACAGGTGAGAGGCCACTGATTGTGGGGACATGCACCTCCAGCTCCTGCCCCATGGAGGCCCTGCTGGCCCTGTCACCACTGCACCCCCACAGGATCACAGTTACAGGGCCCAGATGTTGGGGCTGCACCACCCATCAGTGCTGCTTCAGACCAAAGCCCTCCTCTGCCACTGGGGCTGGCACAGCTCATGGGATTTTATTTCTTTTTTTATTTTATTTCAGTTTTATTTCTATTTATTTCTATTTTATTGCAGCAAAAGAACGAGCAGGACACAGCACCAGCACTAAGAGAACACTGAGGTTGAGTTTGTGAGGTCCCCAGGATGAAGGAGGAATTGAGAATCTGACTCCATGTTCTCAGAAGCCTGATATATTATATTATATTATATTTTACACTATATTATACTGCATTATATATATTATTATATTATACTACATTATACATTATACTATATTATGTTATATATTATATTATATTATATTACATTACATTATACTACATTATATTACATTATATTATATTATATTATGTTATACTAAAACTATACTAAAGAATCAAGAAAGGATACAGACAGAAGGCTTAACAAGAATTATATATTATATATGTTTTATATTATATTATATTATACTACATTATATTATATTATACTACATTATATTATATTATGCTATACTAAAACTATACTAAAGAATCAAGAAAGGATACAGACAGAAGGCTTAACAAGAATTATAAAAACTCGTGACTGACTCCTCAGAGTCTGAAACAGCTGGATGGTGATTGGTCATTAATTAAAAACAATTCACATGAAACCAATCAAACAACCACCTGCTGGTAAACAATCTCCAGCCACATTCCAAAGCAGCAAAACACAGGAGAAGCAAATCAGATAATTATTGTTTTCATTTATCTCTGAGGTTTCTCAGCTTCCCAGGAGAAGAAATCCTGGTGAAGGGATTTTTCCAGAAAATCTGACAGTGACACAGCACTAAGAGAAGTCTCTGCCAAGCCACCCCAGCCTGGTGAGGCTGAGCTGTGCCACCCCTGATGCCCCCTCAGGGAACAGCTCTCACCTCATCTCCAGCACTTCCTGCCTGCTCTCCTCGTATTTCTTCTTCCACTCGTTGGCCTCGATCTCCTTGGTGATGATCTGGGGGGCAGCAGGCACAGGACCCTTGGGATGTGCTCTGGGGGGTGTCCCCATCCTGGGCAGAGCAGAGCCGCCCCTGCTGCCTTGGGGGTGAGCCCCAGGGACAGGGACACGAGGGGCAGCCCCAGGGACAGGGACAGGGCTGTTACCTCCAAGGGACAGCCCAGGGGACAGGGACAGGGATGTTACCTCCTCTCTGATCAGCAAAGGGCATCCCCAGGGCACAGGGACATGAGGGGCAGCCCCAGGGACAGGGCTGTTACCTCCAAAGAGCAGCCCAGGAGACAGGGACACGAGGGACAGCCCAGGGGACAGGGCTGTTACCTCTGAGAGGCAGCTTGGGGGACAGGGACAGGAGGGGCAGCCCCAGGGACAGGGACAGGGCAGTTACCTCTGAGAGGCAGCTTGGGGGACAGGGACAGGGCTGTTATCTGGTCTCTGATGAGCAAAGGACAGCCCAGGGGACAGGGACACGAGGGGCAGCTCCAGGGAACACGAGGGGCAGCCCCAGGGGACAGGGACATGGTTGTTACCTCTAAAAGGCAGCCCCAGAGGACAGGAACACGAGGGGCAGCCCCAGGGACAGGGACAGGGCTGTTACCTGGTCTCTGATGAGCGAGGGACAGCCCAGGGGACAGGGACAGGAGGGGCAGCCCCAGGGGACAGGGACACGAGGGACAGCCCAGGGGACAGGGACAGGGATGTTATCTCCTCTCTGATGAGCAAGGGACAGCCCAGGGGACAGGGACAGGAGGGGCAGCCCCAGGGGACACGAGGGCAGCCCCAGGGGACAGGCCCAGAGCTTTACCTCCTCTCTGATGAGTGTGAGCACAGCTGCCTTCTCAGACTCGCTGAGGCAGATGCCAGCCAAGGGACTCTCACTGCTGCCCACGCTGGGGCACTTGTCCATGGAGCACAGCCCGGGGCTGTCCTGGGGGAATCACCCAGGGATGGGATGTTGGGGAGGGGGCTCTTTTCACCCACCCCACCCCTGCTTTATCAGCATCTGCATTTTCCCTTTCTGCACACACAGAGCCCAGAGCCCTGGCAGAGCTGCTGGGAGGTGCCAGGAGCAGGCAAAAGGAGCCACGAGCTGCCCCAGGGAGGAAACATCCCAAAAGGGAAACCCACTAAGGACCCTTTCAGAAGGAAAAGACCCAGCCCCAAGCACATCCAACTTCCCTTATCCCATGGCTGCTTTAAAAATATCCCCAGCCTGGAGGGTCTCTGCTGGCTGTGAGCCACAGGCAGTGATGGTCTGCAAGGGTCTCTGTCTGTCTGTCTGTCTGTCTCCAGGCCCTCCCAGCCTGGAGGGGACAGCAGTGCAGCTCAGAATGCTGCTGGCAGCTGCAGGGACATTTCCTGGGCTTTGCTGCTCACCCAAATGGCCAAGGGGGCTGTGGGGGAAGCAGAACTCAGAACAGGGGTGCAAGGGACAGCCCCACTCATCCCTGGTGCTGCAGGAGAGCTCTGGAATGGGAGATGCTCACACAGAGATCCTGGCACCCTCCTGGTGCCATTCTGGGTGTCTCTACAAGGCCTGGGGTGGTTGTACCCCCATTGTCCCCTGCCTTCCTCTCCCAAAGCCCCTCCTGTGCCCTGCCTGTGCCCCAGTGCTGCTGTGACCGTGTTCAGAGGGGTCTGAGGATGAGGGAAGACACGAGGATCTGACTCCATGTTTCAGAAGGCTTGATTTATTATTTTATGATATATGTTATATTAAAACTATACTAAAAGAATAGAAGAAAGGATTTCATCAGAAGGCTGGCTAAGAATAGAATGATAACAAAGGCTTCTGTCTCAGACACAAGATACAGGGAGTCTGAGACAGTCGGACTGTGATTGGCCATTAATTAGAAACAACCACATGAGCCCAATCCCAGATGCACCTGTTGCATCCCACAGCAGCAGATAACCATTGCTTACATTTTGTTCCTGAGGCCTCTCAGCTTCTCAGGAGAATAAATCCTAAGGAAAGGATTTTTCAGGAAATATCATGGCTACACTGCTGCAGCCACTGGGACAAACTGGGGGCAAGGCTCAGCCCCAGCTGCTGGCCCTGCCTGTCCCTCCTTTCCCCACCCAGAGCAGTGACAGCCCTGCAGCCTCTCCCTGACAAGGGGCTGCCAGAAATGGAGAAGGGAGGAAGGAGGAAGGGGAGGGAGGAGGCAGCCTGCTCCTCACAGTGTGGAAACCAGAGCAAACTGGAGCACTTCTCCCCTCCCCTGTCCTCCCCCTGGTGCTTCAGCTGCTCAGCTCCAGCTCCCTGTGGCCATGGCAGAGTGGGAGCCACCCCTGGCGCAGGTTTGGGGCCAGGCACCCCAGCACTGAGGAGGTTCAGCCTCCCAAGAGCTGCTGCACACCTGAGCTCCTGCAGGTCCCTTGGGGTGACAGCAGCTGCCTGCAGGACCACAGCCTGCCCAGGCTCTCAGGGCACCAAACGAGAGCTCACTTTGCCCATGTCCTTGTGGGGCTCAGCACAGCTAAATCTGCCTCACAGGGGCTGCTTTTGCTGATATTGCTAATCCCATTGTCATCTGCTTGTCAGCTCAAGCAGCTTTGGGGCTGGCACAGGGTGTCCCTTGGGGCTCCTCAGGCCATGGCAGGGCAGTCCCAGCACAGTGGGGCTGCCAGGGGCAGTGTGGCTGCAGAGCAGGGCTCCTGTGCTCTTCCCACCTCTGCTGTCAGAGGCCAGGGCCCTGAGGGTCCCTCCAGCACCAAGGGGCCACCAGAGCCAGCCCTGGGCACTCCCTGTGAGACCCAAACTGTGCTGGCAGCTGCCCACAGCCTGCTCTGCCCTCCCTGTCCTTCAGCCACCGCCCAGGGCAGCCCTGCTCCTGTCTGTCCCCAGCATTGCTCCTGTCCCCAGCCCTGGCTCTGCCTGTCCCCAGCCCTGCTCCTGTCCCCAGCCCTGCTCCTGCCTGTCCCCAGCCCTGCTCCTGTCCCCAGCCCTGCTCCTGCCTGTCCCCAGCCCTGCTCCTGTCCCCAGCCCTGCTCCTGTCTGTCCCCAGTCCTGCTCCTGTCCCCTCCCTCCCTGTCCCCAGCCCTGATCCTGCCTGTCCCCAGCCCTGCTCCTGCCTGTCCCCAGCCCTGGCTCTGCTCCTGTCCCCAGCCCTGCTCCTGTTCCCTCTCTCCCTGTCCCCAGCCCTGGCTCTGTCTGTCCCCAGCCCTGCTCCTGTCCCCAGCCCTGCTCCTGTCTGTCCCCAGCCCTACTCCTGTCCCCAGCCCTGCTCCTGTCCCCTCCCTCCCTGTCCCCAGCCCCACTCCTGTCCCCAGCACCCATCCCTCCCTCCCTGCCTGTCCCCAGCCCTGTCCTGCCCATCCCCTCCCTCTCTCCCTCCCTCTCCCCCTCCATTCGCCCACCCAGGAGGGATCTGTCTCTGCCAGGCTCCTCCAGGCCTGCTGGGAAATCTCTGCTATTTTTATCAAGTCCCTGCGTGGGCTTGTCAGGAATTTTACCTCCCAGAGAAAACTCATTTCAGAAAGGAGAAAGCGAGAGGCACTCACAGGGAAGATGCCAGGCCCTCCTTTTTCCATCTGCTTGCAGATCTCCTTTTCAAAACCTAAAGACAACGAAACACAACCTTTAATTGATTTGCAAACAGCACCCTGGGGCACACACAGATTTTCTGAGACAGAGGAGGGTCCCTCTGAGCCTCCCCATCCCCTGAGCTTCCCCTCCCAAAGGCATCTTTGCCCCCAGCTCCTTGCTGGCATCATTTTGGTTGGAAAAGAGCATGGAGTCCCCAGCACTGCCAAGGTCGCCATTAAACCCTGTCCCCAGGTGCCACAAGGTGCACCCTGCCAGCCTTCCAGCACTCCTGGAGTGGGAACCAACACTCCCCTCTGGTGGCAGTTCAGCTGTGCCCATGTCCCCAGGGCTGGGACCACCATGTGGTGGCAATACAGCTGTGCCCATGTCCCCAGGGCTGGGACCACCGTGTGGTGGCAATACAGCTGTGCCCATGTCCCACCATGTGGTGGCAGTTCAGCCGTGCCCATGTCCCACCATGTGGTGGCAGTTCAGATGTGCCCATGTCCCACCATATGGTGGCAATTCAACCTGTGCCCATGTCCCACCATGTGGTGGCAGTTCAGCCGTGCCCATGTCCCACCATGTGGTGGCAGTTCAGATGTGCCCATGTCCCACCCTGTGGTGGCAGTTCAACCTGTGCCCATGTCCCACCATGTGGTGGCAGTTCAACCTGTGCCCATGTCCCACCATGTGGTGGCAGTTCAGATGTGCCCATGTCCCACCCTGTGGTGGCAGTTCAGCTGTGCCCATGTCCCACCATGTGGTGGCAGTTCAGCTGTGCCCATGTCCCACTGTGTGGTGGCAGTTCAGCTGTGCCCATGTCCCACCGTGTGGTGGCAGTTCAGCTGTGCCCATGTCCCACCATGTGGTGGCAGTTCAGCTGTGCCCATGTCCCACCATGTGGTGGCAGTTCAGCTGTGCCCATATCCCACCATGTGGTGGCAGTTCAGCCATGCCCATGTCCCACCACGTGGTGGCAGTTCAGATGTGCCCATGTCCCACCATGTGGTGGCAGTTCAGATGTGCCCATGTCCCACCATGTGGTGGCAATTCAGCCATGCCCATGTCCCCAGGGCTGGGACAGGACGTTTTGCACCTCAGCAGCTGTTCAGACCACCCCAGAGCACCAGCACCCCTCATCCCTGGTGCTCCAGGAGAGCTCTGGAATGGGAGATGCTCACACAGAGATCCTGGCACCCTCCTGGTGCCATTCTGGGTGCCTCTGCAAGGCCTGGGGGGTTGTACCCCCATTGTCCCCTGCCTTCCTCTCCCAAAGCCCCACTCCTGTGCCCTGCCCAGGGCTGCAGCCACAGGGACAAACTGGGGGCAAGGCTCAGCCCCAGCACCAGCCCTGACACCCTCCAAAGGACCTGACACACGGCCCCTGCTGCTCTGAACAGCAGGGAGGAGACAAAAAACATCTCCCCCATCGACAAGGAGTGGGACACCACGAGCTGGGGACACCCTGGCCTGGGGACACCCCAATCTGGGGACACCCCAATCTGGGGACACTTTGCCTCACAGCAGGGACACCCTGACTTGAGGGACACCCTGACCTGGGGACACTCTGTCTTACAGGACATTCTGCCTCACAGGAGGGACATCCTGACCTGGGACTCTGCTTCACAGGAGGGACACCCCAACCTAGGGGACACTGAGGGGACACTGTCTCACAGGAGGGACACCCTGACCTGGGACACTGCCTCACAGGAGGGACACCCCAATCTGGGGACACCCTGACCTGAGGGACACCCTGACCTGCAGGTGCTGCTTCACATAGCATGAGGGGTAATTTCTGGGCCACAAGTGCTGACACAATTCACAATTCAGGGGTAATTTCTGGGCCACAACTGCTGACACAATTCACAATTCAGGGGTAATTTCTGGGCCACACTCCCACAAGTGCAGCCACAATTCATGTGCTGACAGTGTGTTTAGAGGGCCCAGCTTGCAGAGGAACAGGTAATGTGACACTGCCCTCTTCCCAAGCTTCCCTCCATTTCTCCCAGTGCCAGCAGCTGCACCCACAGCTCCCACCCCATCCCTGCAGAGAGCACCCAGCCCCTGCACCTGCCTGGCCCCTGGGAGCAGCAGCAATAATAAATAAACCCTCCAGCCTCTCCCCTGACTGTCAGATTTTCCTCCCCTGAGGACAAAGGACCGTTCTCCATGGAGCTGGCAGCCCAGCACAGCCCTCAGCAGAAATGATTAATGGGTTCCTGCAGAGGGGAGCCTGCAACCCCCCCGTGGTGATTTCCCCTGCTTGCACCTAGGGCTTGGCTATTGATTAAATGTCATGTTGCCTGGCTTTTAATTATTTTGTAATGGCTTGGGCAGAGAGGCTAATTACGTGGGAAACTGATGGCAGAATTCCACCAGGAGCAATAATTGGGTCTGTGTGGGCATTACTGAGATCTCCATCAAGCACAGCCCTGTGCCAGGACACCAGGTCCTGGCAGCTCTGCTCTAAGCAGGGCCCCTGCAGCCCAGGAGTCAGGGCAGGATGCTCTGAGTGAGCAATTGCTCTGCTCAGCAGTGAGCACTGGTGGGGGGAACCTCATGCCTGAGCCACATCCCTCTGCAGCATCGCAGGGAGAGTGCTCTGTACACAAAATCTAAATAAACACAGCCTGGACCATCGTTTTCCATGCTGGAAACAATGCAGGGAAGCAATGGGAGGTTCCATGAGAACCTGCAGCAGCCTTCAGCCCTGTCAGTGCAAACAAACTCTGGTGAGGCTGCAGCACCAGTTCCTTGCCAGAGGCTCCCACAGCACATTCCCAGAGCTGAAGGCAAGCAGGGGGCTCCTCACCTGCCTCTGCTCTGTGCTTCCCTGAGGACACAGGCACGTTGGAGCACTCAAAGTACTCCAGGTCATCTTCTGCCTCAGCCTTCTTCTCCAGCCCCGCTGGTTTCTGCGTGGAGCTGGTGGAGGCCAACTTCTCCTCATCAGTGGCACGTCCATCCCGGTGTGTAATGTCTGGGATCTCTGAGATCAACACTCCTTCATCCTGCAGGACCAAAACACGCAGTCAGGCAAGATCTGCAGGGGTCAGGCCACCAGGTGGGCAGCTGATACTGCACAGATAGCATGGAAAGCTTAAAATCCACAGGTGAGCTGCTGCTGCCTCCCTTCCTGTAGGAGCAATGGGGGCAGGATGGTGGGGATGGATGGAGAGCAGAGATCTCTGCAGCCAGGTGGGGAATTTGGGGTTTATTGCAAAGGACCAAGGGCAGGGCCCTGCTGGGAGCTGCCAGGCACAGCTCAGAGCAGGCCTGAGAGAAGAGAGGGGGAGAGAGGATGAGAGGGTGAGAGAGTAAAAGGGGTAAGAGAGCAAGGTTCCCATTCCAATACCATAAATCTTCTTCTGTGTTGAATATTCTCATTCTCACCAACCAATCCAGTACAAGATACAAATCCTACAGCATTTACATACAGCCTATCAGAATCACTACATGACCACACTGTGTTCCATTTTAAACCCTACAAACTCCTCTTTGGGCCCCTTCTGCCAAGCTGGCAGGGTCTGCTCTGACCCTTGGGCCTGTCTGCAAGCAGAGGGTGTTGTTCCATCAAAAGGGGATCACCTTCAGCCAGCCACACCATTGTTTTCCAGTTGTTCAGTAACTGAGGGATCTCAAAGCTGCTTTCATTTCAATCTCACTTATAGTTTCCATATTCTCAAAATCCTTTGCCAGGCAATCACATTTATAAGGCTTTCCTGTTTCACCTTCCCCAACACCTTCCCACCAGGACCTGCCCCCAGGGAAGATGCCAGCCTGAAGCTCAGCCAGCCCAGCTCTCCCCATCCCCTGTGCCCAGCCCAGAGCTCTGGGGTCTCACCCCCCTACCTGAGCACTGATGTCCAGGACCAGGGGCTGCTGTGCCTCGTGCTGCTTCACCTTGCATCCACTCCTGCAGGAGAGAGGAGCAGCAGCTCAGGGGGGCTCAGGGGCAGCGAGGGGGATGTGGGGTGAGTGCCAGACAGCCCAAGCAGGGGGAGGCAGTCCCAGCACCAGCCTTGCACCCACGGCGTGCCAGCACCCCACTCACCAGTCAAACACCGAGGCAGAGCGGCTTCTGGGAGGGACAGAAGGAACAGGCAAACAAAAGACACAACTACACACAAGTTGGGTTTGTCTGTGAGGTGTTTATTCCTGAGGAAGGTAAGGAGCCGAGCAAGGACCCCAAGAGGCTGATGGGGAGAGAGATAACACCAAGATAACAGCTCTGGATTGCACAAGGAGCTGGCACAGAAGGATCTCCCTCGCCCTGCGTGCCCAGCACCGTGGCACCCCAGGCTTCGGTGCAAGTCGACTTTCTGCAGGAAGAACCATGTCCAGGCTGTCTCATGGCCTCTCCCTGCAGCTGGAAGCTTGCCTGGGACTGCTCCACAGCATCCCCATCTCGCAGGTGAGTCAGGCAGGGTGCTGTGCCCCAAACGCACGCTCCGTGCGGCACGAACGCTGCCCCAAGGAGAGGGGCCCCTCAGGTGGGATCTTTAGCCCAAGGAGGTCTGGCAGGTGGTCTCCTTGCCCTTCAGGGAGGAGGCTGTCCCTGGAACTCCATCCCATGTCCCTGAAGGCACCCATCCAGAGCCACCTGTGCAGGGCTGCATCCCCACAGCCCCAGGGGGAACGTGGGTGGGACAGCAGGAGGAGCTGCTCTCCCACATCTCACCCCTCACACTCCACACTCAGGGACCTCCCAGCCTCCTGGCCACGTCTGACCCCCCAGGAGACGCTTGCTGAGCTGGAACAGCTCCTGTGACAGCCCCTGCAGGGGAGGCACCCCAGCCTCCAGGCACAGGCTCCAGCAGCACTGCAGGGAGCTGCTCCCAGGCTCATGGAGCTGCTCCCTGGCTCATGGAGCTGATCCCAGGCTCATGGAGCTGCTCCCTGGCTCATGGAGCTGATCCCAGGCTCATGGAGCTGCTCCCAGGTCCATGGAGCTGATCCCTGGTCCATGGAGCTGATCCCTGGCTCATGGAGCTGATCCCAGGCTCATGGAGCTGATCCCTGGTTCATGGGGCTGCTCCCTGGTCCATGGAGCTGCCCCCAGGCTCATGGAGCTGCTCCCAGGTTCATGGAGCTGCCCCCAGGTTCATGGAGCTGCTCCCAGGCTCATGGAGCTGCTCCCTGGCTCATGGAGCTGCCCCCAGGCTCATGGAGCTGCTCCCAGGCTCATGGGGCTGCTCCCAGGTTCATGGAGCTGCTCCCAGGTCCATGGAGCTGCTCCCAGCCTCTGGCAGTGTCCAGCCCCCCCAGCCCAGCACAGCAGAGCACAAGGAGCAACGTGGGGCACACAGAGCTGGCTCTGCACGCTGCCATGCACACCTGGCTCACACTGAACAATCACTCTGCACTGCTTTTCTCCCTCATGCCCTGCCACGAGCAAGACAAACTTGCCAAACTCCTCTTTTCTGCACCCTCTCCTGTGCAAGGGTTATCCCATCACCTGGCAGCTGGTTTGAGCTCCCCCCCAGCACCAAGATAACAGCTCTGGATTGCACAAAAACCTGCTGCCCCTCCATGAGCTGAAGGTTTTGAGCATTTGCCCACCATCAGAAGATGCTGTAAGGCAGCATGCTGCGAGGACAAGCACGGGTGTGTGCCTCCAGTGCAGCTCAGCTAAGCTCAGCTCAGCTCAACTCAGCCCAGCTCAGCTCTCCTCTTCTCCCTCACACCAGGCCAGGCCACCCTGGGGACCCCACCACACAAACCAGACAGCAGAGAGCACAAGTCAAAGGGCAGAAGGAGCCAGCATGCCATGGAGACCAGTGGGGCAGCACACACCCAGAGAGAGGACAAAAACAGCAAAGGAAAAGAAAAGGAATACAGGAGAGAGTACTTACAACAGAAAACAGAGAAATTTCACTTGCTCAGTAGTCCTGATGCACCAAAGCACGGACAGGGAGAGAGACAGACAGATGGAGAGAAGAAGAGTGTGTGAAAAGACCTGAAGAAGAGTGTGTGAAAAGACCTGGATGTTAACTCTGCTCTGAGAAGCACAGGGAGCTGCCTAGCTCAGTCTTTGGGAAGGCACACACACACATGGGACACTCTGATCCTGCCTGTGCTGCCCACGGCAGCGGGGTGAGATCCACACACAAAGCTCAGTGCCAGGGCAATGAGATCCAGGCACAAACCTCACTGCCAGGGCAGAGAGATCCACACACAAACCTCAGTGCCAGGGCAGTGAGATCCAGGCACAAACCTCAGTGCCAGGGCAGTGAGATCCCAACACAAACCTCAGTGCCAGGGCAATGAGATCCAGGCACAAACCTCAGTGCCAGGGCAGTGAGATCCAGGCACAAACCTCAGTGCCAGGGCAATGAGATCCAGGCACAAACCTCAGTGCCAGGGCAGAGAGATCCACACACAAACCTCAGTGCCAGGGCAGTGAGATCCCAACACAAACCTCAGTGCCAGGGCAATGAGATCCACACACAAACCTCAGTGCCAGGGCAATGAGATCCACACACAAACCTCAGTGCCAGGGCAGAGAGATCCATACACAAACCTCAGTGCCAGGGCAATGAGATCCACACACAAACCTCAGTGCCAGGGCAGTGAGATCCAGGCACAAACCTCAGTGCCAGGGCAGAGAGATCCAGGCACAAACCTCAGTGCCAGGGCAATGAGATCCGAACACAAACCTCAGTGCCAGGGCAATGAGATCCCAACACAAACCTCAGTGCCCGGGCAGTGCCCTGCTGTGGGGTGAGATCCACACACAAACCTCAGTGCCAGGGCAGTGAGATCCATACACAAACCTCAGTGCCAGGGCAATGAGATCCACACACAAACCTCAGTGCCAGGGCAATGAGATCCCAACACAAACCTCAGTGCCAGGGCAGTGAGATCCAGGCACAAACCTCAGTGCCAGGGCAATGAGATCCCAACACAAACCTCAGTGCCAGGGCAGTGAGATCCAGGCACAAACCTCAGTGCCAGGGCAATGAGATCCAGGCACAAACCTCAGTGCCAGGGCAGAGAGATCCAGGCACAAACCTCAGTGCCAGGGCAGTGAGATCCCAACACAAACCTCAGTGCCAGGGCAATGAGATCCCAACACAAACCTCAGTGCCAGGGCAGTGCCCTGCTGTGGGGTGAGATCCCAACACAAACCTCAGTGCCAGGGCAATGAGATCCAGGCACAAAGCTCACTTCCAATGCCCTGCTGTGGGGTGAGATGCCAACACAAACCCCACTGCCAGGGCAGTGCCCTGCTGCCTGTGCTGCTCCAAGGTGACACAGAGAGAGCAGAGAATTCCCTGCTGCTTCCCCTCCCCACAGGCTCTGCTCACCCACAGCCACACACTGGAACACCAGCTCTTTTTTATCTACCCTCTGTAAAGTATTTCCTGGACAAAACCATCCAGCACAGCCTGATTTTTGCCTGTGAGGTTTTCTCTTTCGCTGTTAAAACCCTCCATCTAATTTTCACACTGGAGAATCCGACAGCAGAGTGAGAGACTGCCTGTCCAACCTGTTCTCTTTCTCTGACATAAAACAGAAACTTGGTGGCAGCTCACAAAATGTCTCAGCTACATCCGACCGACCACACCTGCATCCACCAGGGTGTGTTTGGTCCAGCACAAGTCCAGCAAACACATCAGCTCCAGCCTCCCCTGCGGGTTCCTCTGACACCACATCTACACCCTGAGCCACCAGCTGCACCCCCAAGGGGTTTCCAAAGTGGTGACCCTGCAAGCAGGTCCCAGTCCAGCCTTCCCTTGGGACTCAGGACGCTGGCACTGCTCCAGAACTCCCGTCCCTCTGCTCCCACAGCGCCCTGACAGGCACAGGGGGACAACACTGAGCCACCAGCAGAACGTGAGGGGCATGGCAGGATCTGGGGTTGGCTCAGGAGGCACCAGGGCAGGAGCACCACCAGGGCAGGAGCATCACCATCATCACCACCACCATCACCACCTCCACCACCATCACCATCACCTCCATCACCTTCATCACCATCATCACCACCTCCATCATCACCAGCACAACCATCACCTCCTCCATTATCATCACCATCATCACCACCTCCATCACCACCTCCATCACCATCACCTCCTCCATTATCATCACCATCATCACCACCATCATCACCTCCTCCATTATCATCACCATCATCACCACCATCATCACCATCACCTCCTCCATTATCATCACCATCATCACCACCATCATCACCATCACCTCCTCCATTATCATCACCATCATCACCACCATCATCATCACCTCCATCACCTCCTCCATCATCACCACCATGACCATCACCTCCTCCATTATCATCACCATCACCACCTCCATCGCCATCATCATCACCACCATCATCACCTCCCCATGACCACCTCCATCACCTCCACCAGTGCAGCTCTGCCTGCCCCTGGGGAGCACAGGGGGGCTGCAGCCCCAGCTCTGGCATTGGCACTCACGTTATCAGGCGTGACTTGGGCTTCTTGGGGGAGTCTCTGCCTTTCAGGGCCTCGTCCTGCAGCTCCAGAGTCTGAGATTCCAGGATTTCATTGAGGCTGTTGTCTGCAGTGGAGCAGGAGTCAGGGTCACTGTTGGCAAGAGTCTTGGTGGGCTTGAATGGATCCATGGAGTCAAAGTTACTGGGGTCAAACTGGTAAGAGCCCTTGGGGAGAACTGGTGAATTTTGCAGTACAGAGCTGCCACTGAGAGAGCTGAGGCCGGGAGCCAGCTGGGAGGAGCCCCAGGGTGGCTCTGTGGGACCCCTCTCTGCATCCTCAGCTGCTCTCTTGGGGGACTCTCTGTGTCTCCTGGGTGTCAGCTTGCTGGCTGGGATCCTGCTGCCCCTCCTGGGTGAAGCTGGCTTGGCCTCCACGCTCTCCTTGGCCTCTGTAGAATCAGCCCCAGGTTTCAGGAGCTGCCCTGGGGCCTCCAGAGCTGGGTCTGCCCCCAGCTCCCCGGGCTGGGGGAGGCGTTGTGGGGCTGCTGGGGCAGAGCTCTGCAGCTGGCAGGGGCTCACACTCCTCTCGTGCTGCTCAAGCTGGGTCTCCTCTGTGGCTTCATCTGGTTTCCTCCCCGGTGTTTTCCCTTTCCCGAGCTGCTCCTGGCCCAGGGCATCATCAGCCCTCAGCTCCAGCAGCCCCGTGCCAGTGTCCCCTGCTGGCATGGTGGCAGTGCCCACATGGGGCACAGGCTCCCCAGCAGAGTGGCCAGGGTCAGCCTGGCAGCCCAGGGGCTGCATCAGGGGTGAGCTGTCAGGGGCAGTTTTAGCATCCAAGCTGGCTGTAGGGGCTCCAATCTCTGGCTGAGCCTCATCTTTGGGGAGCTTCCCAGGCGAGCTGTCCCAGTGGGCTTCCCCTACCAGCAGGTCACCATGGCCACCTGGCTCTGGAAAGAGAAAAGGAGATGGTTAAAGCCTGACCAGTGTGACAGGGGCTGTTCACAGGGGTTCTTGGATTGGGGAAGAGATGAGGATCTGACTCCGTGTTTAAGAAGGATTGATTTATTATTTTATTATATATATTATATTAAAACTATACCAAAAGAATAGAAGAAAGGATTTCATCAGAAGGCTGGCTAAGAATAGAATAGGAAAGAATGATAACAAAGGTTTGTGGCTCGGCTCTCTGTCCGAGCCACCTGGACTGTGATTGGCCATTCATTAGAAACAACCACATGAGCCCAATCCCAGATGCACCTGTTGCATTCCACAGCAGCAGATAACCATTGGTCACATTTTGTTCCTGAGGCCTCTCAGCTTCTCAGGAGAAAAAATCCTAAGGAAAGGATTTTCCATAAAAGATGTGTGCGACAACCTGCAGTGCACTCCCCTCCAGAGGGCTTTCTGTTCCCTCCCCACAGCTGCTCTAGGGTTGGATTTTATGGGGGATTCACTGACCCACAGCTCAGCTTCCCTCCTGCCACACCACAAGGGAGTCACTGCTCGCTTGGGCAGAGTTAAAAATCAGTGAGAAGAGTTCAGGGGTGCACAGCACGAGACAGCAGCACAAGATGTGAGCCAGCAGGGCCCGGGGAGGAGGGGAATGGGAAGGTGCACTCAGTGAAGGAGCAGAGTCTGGCTGCAGGAGGGATCTGGGGCTGCAGGGCTGGATGCTCCTGCCTGCAGCAGGCAGGGGAAGCTGCCCCACACCAGCTCCTCTCCACCTGCACAAACCCTGCTGTAGTCACACCAGGCTGGCTCTCCACACTGCTGTCAGCCTCCTCTAATGACAAATCCTGATCCATGACTTAATCTCCAATCCTTTCCCCTCAATCCTTTTACTGTTTAATCTTTTCTTTGACATCAAGGGATGGGAAAGATCCTTTATCTACTGGGGCACCCTGAAAGCTGCACCCACCGAGCACCCAGAGCCAGGCTTGTGGTGCAGCTGTGCCAAGGCACAAGAGGAAAACATCTGGTGCTTTTCCTGCACCTCAACCAGGCACAATTGCACAGATTCCTGGGAGAAAAATCCTCCAGACAGGATGCTGGGATGCCCAGCACCCATCAGGGAGCGCTTGGTACCTGCAGCCCTCACAGGCACCTTTTGGGGAGACACAACCAGGCCCTCCAAAGGCAAAACAGGACCAATGCTCTTCCTGAACCAAACTGGTTTAATGTGGTGGTGTTTGCAGGGGTCCCAGGACAAGGGAAGAGATGAGAATCTGGCTCCATGTTTCAGAAGGCTGGTTTATTATATATGACATATATAATTATATGTCATATATATATATATATATATATATATATATATATATAAAATATATAATATATTATATGACATATATATTTATATATTATATTATACATATAATATTATATTATATTATATATATTATATATATTATATTATATAGTATATATATGTCATATATATTATTTATAATATATGACATATATTATTTAAATAATATAAATATTATATTATTTAAGACTATATTATTTTATGATATATATTATATACTAAAACTATACTAAAAGAATAGAAGAAAGGATTTCATCAGAAGGGTAGCAAGGAAAGGAAAGAATGATAATAAAATCTTGTGACTGCCCAGAGTCTGACACAGCTGGGCTGTGATTGGCCATTAATTAGAAACAACCACATGAGACCAATCCCAGATCCACCTGTTGCATTCCACAGCAGCAGATAATCATTGTTTATATTTCATTTCTGAGGCCTCTCAGCTTCTCAGGAGAAAAGATCCCAGCAAAAGGATTTTTCATAAAATATGTTCGTGACAGTTTGAAAACCTGGCTGGGAGGAGCAGCCTGGGTGATGAAGAGCTTGCACCAGGGGAATCTGTCTGTCCCTGCCCTGGAACAGAGGTGAGAGTCACCTCCAGCATCCCCCCTGTTTGGCAGGGGGACAGCAACCACCTGCTCCCACAGACCCCCACCCCTGAGCACCCAGGAGAGCTTTTGCCTGTTGGGAAGGATGAGAGTTTGACAGGGAAGTCTCACAGATTTGTGTGCTTGGCAGAAAGATTTTTGAATGTAGAATCTGATGAAGGAATAGAGATGGAAGCAAGTTTTGATATGGAAGAAAAGAATTGCAGAGCCAGTCTGACTGGATAACCAAGGAGCAAAGGGTGTGTGAGTTAGAAGGGTTTTTATGGCTTAGAGCAAAGGATAAACCCACCCCAAACAAGAAGATGTTTTTACCAAGTGGAAAGAGAGCACAGGCAAACAAGGCAGCAAATGTGGCAAGCAGAAAAAAGGTGTCAGAATTTTCCACTGCAAGAAAACTGAAAAACAACTTCTAGCTTAAACTGTAATGTACTGACTGTGAGTGACTGGAGAACAGTGACATGGATATGGTAATTACAGGAGTTATGATAGGCTATAGATAATAGTTAAGGTATAGATTGGTTCTACAGTATGAAGATGCTCAGCAAAGAAAAGTATAGAATGCATTGTAACCAAAAGAAAAGTAAATAAGGCATTTGTAACCTTAACTAAGGGTTTCCAGGCCTGCCTGCAGCTGGAGCTGACAGCTGTGGGCACAGCTCTGTCACCCATGACCCTGGACTGCTGTGACCTCTTGGATGGAATAAACTGCATTTTTTATACAATAAACTGCATTTTGGATACAATAAACTGCATTTTGTACACAAAAAACTGCATTTTGTACACAAAAAACTGCATTTTGGATACAATAAACTGCATTTTGGATACAATAAACTGCATTTTGGATACAATCAACTGCATTTTGGAGAGCCACCTGGAGTCCCACATCCCTCATTTCGGCTCTTACATTTTCCTATCACCAGGCATTTGCAACCAGCTCATGTGTGCTGGTAACAGAGCCAGGCTGGCAGAGGAACAGGGAATCAGGCAAATATCTGATCCCAGGGCTGATCCAGGACATGGAGCCAACAATCCTGACTCAGTTGATGGCTCGTGGTTGGCGTAATTGATCCCCAGGATGCTAAAAGCCATGAAAATGAATCATGAGGGTCTGTGTGCTCCCTGAGACTGCAAAAATGCTTCCTCAGACTGCAAAAAAAATTTAAAAAAAAGCTCCCTCCAAGTAGACATTGCCTTGATGCCCCAGAAAATGCATCAGTAAACACAAATGCAGTGGATGAGTACTTGGAGTGCAGCCAGGGAACAGTCTGAGGCAGCGCCTGGCAGGCCTTCCCATCATTAGAAACCAGGAAAACCTCCTTAACAGACCCCAAAGAAAACTTTATTACACTTGCTGTGCTGCTCAGCTGTTTGAAGCCTTCCTGAGACAGCCCTGAATAGAAGAACACACTTCAAAGTCAGGGCAAAAGGACTATTTAAGTGCATTTTGCCTTCCCAGCAGAAGGTTTGGCAGCTGCTGTTCTCACAGACGTGAGCCCATCCTGGTTTCTAACCCAAGCCATGAGTAATTACTCCTTGAATACCAAGCAGCCAGCACACAAACTGCCTCTCCACGCCATGGTGACTCCAGGGTGGGGAGGAAAGGAGCGTGCGGCCATAGCTCAGAACGGTTTTCCCACAAAGAGCAGAAGAAGCACCCAGCCAGCTTCTCCAGTTCTGTGATTCCCTCATTTTCTGCACCCAGGAGGGCTCATCCCCTCCCACAGCCAGCCTGAGAGCTGAGGAACTGGGCCATACTGGGAGGCAGGAGGTGCAGGCTCAGCTGCTGGTTTTGGAAATCTTTTGCAGCAGAAATGCCCCTCCTCAAGCTCAGGGGGGCTGGGTTTCCCCTAGTTCCTCTCCCCCTCTACATTTCTTCTGCCTCCAACAGCAGCAGGAACAATTACACAGGATGCAGAAAGCACAAGCCCCGTCCTTGGGGGCTCCCACAGCTGCCCAGCCCTGGCAAAAAACCTCAGTGCAGCCCTGGCTCTCCCCAGGGAGCCCTCCCCGAGCCCAGCACGGTGCCTGCAGCTCTCCCTGCTCCTCCTGCAGCTCTCCCCCATCCCCATTCCCATTCCCAGCCCTGCAGCTCTCCCTGCTCCTCCTGAGCTCTCCCTGCTCCTCCTGCAGCTCTCCCCCATCCCCATTCTCATCCCCATCCCCATCCCCAGCCCTGCAGCTCTCCTCAATCCCCATTCTCATCCCCAGCCCCATTCCCAGCCCTGCAGCTCTCCCTGCTCCTCCTGAATGCTCCCTGCTCCTCCTGAGCTCTCCCTGCTCCTCCTGAGCTCTCCCCCATCCCCATTTCCAGCCCCATTCCCATCCCCAGCCCTGCAGCTCTCCCTGCTCCTCCTGCAGCTCTCCCTGCTCCTCCTGCTCCCATTCCCATCCCCATCCCCATTCCCAGCCCTGCAGCTCTCCCTGCTCCTCCTGAGCTCCCCCTGCTCCTCCTGCAGCTCTCCCCCATCCCCATTCTCATTCCCAGCCCCAGCCCTGCAGCTCTCCCTGCTCCTCCTGCAGCTCTCCCCGCTCCTCCTGCTCCCATTCCCATCCCCATTCCCATTCCCATCCCTGCAGCTCTCTCTGCTCCTCCTGCAGCTCTCCCTGCTCCTCCTGCTCCCATTCCCATCCCCATTCCCAGCCCCATCCCCATTCCCATCCCCATTCCCATCCCTGCAGCTCTCCCTGCTCCTCCTGAGCTCTCCCTGCTCCTCCTGAGCTCTCCCTGCTCCTCCTGAGCTCTCCCCCAGCCCCAGCCCCAGGCAGTCACGTTGTGAGCAGCCCTGCCGGCTCTGCACGTACTCCCTTGGCTCGTGGCCCCTGCCAGGGAAACCAGCTTGTCCCCAACTCCTGCAGCTGTCCCCCAGCCCTGTCACTGCTCAAATCCTCCTTCTGGGCCAAATCTGGGCTGAGCAGCCCAGGAGAAGGAGGGCTGGCAGGCACGGACCACACACAGCTCTGCCCCTTCCAGAGCGTCCCAAAGAGGTGACCCTGAGGTGGCCCATCCTGTGGGATTCACATTATTTTGGAAAAAAAATCCCTTTGCTCAGGATTTTTCTCCTGGGAAACTGAGGAGCCTCAGAAAAAAAAAAAAAAAAACAAACCAAACCAAAACAAACAAACAAAAAAACCCAAAAACAATAATTATCTGATTTGCTTCTCCTGTGTTTTACTCCTTTAGAATGTGTTTGGAGATTGTTTACCAACAAGTATTGTTTCATTAAATTTCTAGTCTGAGTGTTTTGGCTCTTTGGCCAATCAGGGCCAAGCTGTGTTAGGGCTCTGGAAAGAATCACGAGTTTTCATCATTATCTTTTTAACCTTCTGTCTGTATCCTTTCTGTATTCTTTAGTATAGTTTAGTATAATATTCTATAATATCATATCATAATAAATTAGCCTTCTAAAAACATAGAGTCAAATTCATCATTTTTTGCTATGATATCTTCTGAAAAATCCCTTTGCCAGGATTTTTCTGCTGAGAAGCCTCAGAGGAAAAGAAAAACAATAATTATCTGCTGCTGTGGAATGCAACAGGTGCATCTGGGATTGGTCTCATGTGGTTGTTTCTAATTAATGGCCAATCACAGCCCAGCTGGCTCAGACTCTCCTGTCAGTCACAAGATTTTGTGATTATTCCTTTCTATTCCTTTCAAGCCTTCTGATGAAATCTTTTCTTCAATTCTTTTAGTATAGTTTCAATATATCATTTTCTTTTAATATAATATATATCATAAAATAATAAATCAGCCTTCTGAAACATGAAATCAAGATTCTCATCTCTTCCCTCATCCTGGGACCCCTGTGAACACCACCACAAAAATCATTCCTTCCTTTGTCTAAGGGAAACCCAAATACAATCCTGCCCCACTTCTGGCACTGCACCCTGTCAGTTCTGGACAGTTCAGAGCCTGGCACACACAGACCCCAGGCTCTGCCCCACACACAGCACAGGACAAGCTGGATCTCACCCACAGCCCTGTCCTGGCTGTGCTCAGGCTGCAAACCTGCTCCACACCCAGCTGAGTACCTGCAGGGGATGCTACAAAGTGAAAACAGAGATTTTTTTTTTTTCTTTTTTTACTTTCTAAAGAAAAGCAGGCAGGGCAGTCTGGCACCGCAGTAACAGACGCGTTGTGCCTCTGCATTATAATTGCTTTGCTTGTCTTCCTCGGGCTGAAATTAAACACAAACACCGACTTAAACAGCTTTCCAACACGCCATCCCTCAAACCAGCCAGGAGAACTCGGCAGCAAAGGCTCAGAGCCCTTTCCATCCCACAGGCAGCAACCCCTGTGCCAGAACAGCCCCTCTGCTCTCTTTGGGCTCAGCTGTGAGTCACACACTTCCCATCCCAGCACAGGATATCTGCCCCACACGCCCAGCTCAGCCCCACCACTGCTTTCTGTCGGTGTTCAACAGCCGTTGATCTATTTTTAAATCCATTCTGTTAAGAATTAGCATCAGAGGGAGGATGCTGCTAACGCACCGGAAAACACGTGCCCTGCATCAGGGCAGCTCCCAGCTCTGATGGCTCCAGATCTGCTGCTTCTGCTCATTTCCTTGTGCAAAACATCTACTGGCAGATGACTGCAGATAACTCCAATACCTACTTTTCCTTGTGCAAAACATCTACTGGCAGATGACTGCAGATAATTCCAATACCTACTTTTCCTTGTGCAAAACATCTACTGGCAGATGACTGCAGATAACTCCAATACCTACTTTTCCTTCTGCAAAATATCTACTGAGAGATGACTGCAGGTAACTCCAATACCTACTTTTCCTTGTGCAAAACATCTACTGGCAGATGACTGCAGATAACTCCAATACCTACTTTTCCTTGTGCAAAACATCTACTGGCAGATGACTGCAGATTAACTCCAGCAAGAATGGGGTAGAATTAATCCCACCAGCCAAGACCACAAGAAGAAACTGAGTGGGCACAAACCCTCACTGCAGCTCCCTCCAGGGCTGAATTTTTGTCCCCAAGGACAGGGTTTAACACAGCCAGGTCACCTCTTGGCTGTGCATGGAGCAGCCAGCCCTGGAGTGCAAAATATCTACTGGCAGATGACTGCAGCAAGAATGGGGTAGAATTAATCCCAGCATCTGAGACCACAAGAAAAAACCGAGCGATCCTGAGTGGGCACAAACCCTCACTGCAGCTCCCTCCAGGGCTGAATTTTTGTCCCCAAGGACAGGGTTTAACACACCCAGGTCACCTCCTGGCTGTGCATGGAGCAGCCAGCCCTGGAGTCACAGCTTGTGTCATTCCTCACTCTATTTATTCCCAAGGCAGGGTCAGACTGCAAATACACAGCAAATACAGACAGTGCCTGTCCCTCAAGGCCAGGGGTGCAGTGCCTGCCCCCAGGTGCAGCCCTGGCACTGCCCCAAAGAGCCCAGCAGGGAGCAGCTCCTGGTGCTGCCACGCAGCCATTTCAGGGATTGCATCCCTGCCACTGCTGCAACCGAGCTGCAGCCAGACCCAAGGGCTGCTGTGCAGCAGCAGAATGCAAAGATGAGGCCTTGGCACAGGGATTGCACTGGGGGTGTGACAGCCCAGGGTGCCTCTGCACACTGCAAAGCCACCCACAGCCAGAGAATCCCTTCTCTCCACCATTCCAGAGAACCTGAACAGGCACAGCCAGAGACAGGGGCAGGGAAGGGCACCACAGTTTGGCTCTGCTGGCCCCAACATGCCACTCTCTGCCAGCCAGCACAGAAAAAAAACAGCTTTTGCTGGAGATCATGCCCCCGTCTGCAGAACACTGGGAGCTTTGTGTGCAGGAGCAGATACTCCCTCACTGCTGAGCAGGAGCTGCTCATCCCAGGACAAGGGGCACAGGCACTCAGGGGGACAGTGACACCCTGAAATGATCTTCCCACCTGCCAGGAAAGCCTTTATCTCTCCCCCCCTTTCCCAGGCATTATCCCCAAAGTAAAGATGCCTCTATCATCCCTTCTTAAAAGGATTATTCCAAGAGCTGTGATTACTGGAAGCACGAACAGAGCACTCCCAACACCACAGCAGACAAACAGGAGTTTTGCACAGGGATGGATGAGCAGCCAAAGCAGAACAACACCACAGGAGATGGAGAGCCACAGCATCCTGTGCCTGGGCTCCTGCACAGAAGGACCCATGCTCTGGACCAAGCCCATGTGCTCTGAAATCAGCCCCACACAAAGTTCCCAGCTGCTGCTGCTGCTGCCAGCACTGAAGGAAAGCACAACATTGCACATCACACACCAGAGTCTGCAGCACTGAGAGGGCAGGGAATGCTCAGCATGGCCTGTCCAGGACTGCCTGAGCCACCACAAATTCCCCCGTGCCTTGGAGAGGCTCCTGCAGGGCACCCCAGGGCTCACAAGGAGCCTGGCACTGCCCAGCCACCCTGCCCTGCTGAGAGCACATGCGAGGGGAGCTCTCCTCCCTGCCCTGCCCTGCCCTGATAACCTCCTGTGGGCTGCTGCAGCTTCAAAGCCTCCTCCCAGCAGCACAAAAACAGAGGAAAACACCAAGATCAGCCCAGCACAAAGCCCTGAAGAGGAGGGAATGGAGACAGTGGGGCCTCACAAGGCCATGGGCTAATGGGGAGCCACACTCAGGGGAGCAGAAGAGGTGTGGGACATAGGGATAAACCTGCAAAACAGCTCAGGACCCACCAGCAAGGGAAACCCCACGCAGTTAGAGCAGATCCCCTGCAATTTCTCAAAAAATGGGGTTTAGCAGCATTGAGCTCTTGCATCTTGAGGACAGCTGGCACCCAACTGCAAGGAAAAATGGCCTGTGCCATGAAATCCCTTCCACTGACCAGCCTGGGGGACACAGACCTGGCATTTTGTCACTGCTGTGCAGGAGCCAGGGGTGAGGGACACACGAGCAAGGTCCCACCAGCCAGCAGCAGCCAGGGCAGCCCCCAGGCTGCAGAGGAAGTGTCAGAGGAACATTATTTCACTGATAAAATAATTCAACAGCACCCCGGGACTCCTCCCAGCACAGCTCTTTGTGGGGCGCCCAGCCCAGCCCTGGCATTTGAACTGTCCAGGCCATCAACCACCAAAAGTGTGCCAGGCATTACTCAAAGTCAGGGAATTTTACTCCTTGACCCCACCCTGCCTTTCTGCCACCAGAGCAGAGCACCAAGAGCAGAAGGTGGCACTCTTTAGAGGTGATTCTTTACCTTGGCTCCCAGCCTCAGGCTCTGGCGATCCCAGGGGCTCACAGAACTCCTTGACTGGCGAGCAGGCCGGCGTTTCTGCTTCGGGGGTCTCAAAATTATCAGTGGAGTCCGAGCTGCCGAAGGGGAGGGGGGGAAGGAAAAGAGTGAGGAATTACTGCTTTCAAGGCTACCTCTGAAATCCTCCAGGGCGCCCACACGTCCAGCCAGGCCCCAGGCTGGCCGTGGGCATCCCCTCGCTCCTGTCCAGCGGGACATGCTGGCAAAGGGAACAGGGAGAGCAGGTGAAACATCAGCGGCAGCAGCGCCCTGCGCACCCCAGCCCTGCCGGGGGCTTCCAGCCAGCTCTGAGCACACAGCACGGGCCTCCAAGGACACGCAGCGAGCCCGGCTGCTCCGGCATCCTCCGGGGAGCGGCTCCCGGCCCCCCAACCCCCGGCATCCTCCGGGGAGCGGCTCCGGGCCCCCCAACCCCCGGCATCCTCCGGGGAGCGGCTCCCGGCCCCCCAGCCCCCGGCATCCTCCGGGGAGCGGCTCCGGGCCCCCCAACCTCCGGCATCCTCGGGGGAGCGGCTCCCGGCCCCCCAACCCCGGCTGCTCCGGCATCCTCCGGGGAGCGGCTCCCGGTCCCACAACCCCCGGCATCCTCCAGGGAGCGGCTCCGGGCCCCCCAACCCCCGGCTGCTCCGGCATCCTCCGGGGAGCGGCTCCGGGCCCCCCAGCCCCCGGTGCGGTGCGGGATCCCCGGCAGCCAAGCAGCGAGCGGGGAGAGGATGGGGACAGGGCCGGGGAGGACGCGCAGGGAAGGGAAAGGGCCATGGGTGACTTGCCTGAAGCCAAGGGCCGAGCCCCCCGCCGGCGGGTCCTGCTCCTCCTCATCATCATCATCATCCTCCTCGCCAGCACCGTCACCCTCCTCGGGGCTGCCCCCGCCCCGCACCGCCGACCATGTCCAGCGGGCCCACTGCACCGGCGAGAGGATCTGCCAGGCGCTGAACGCCATCGGCCCCGCTCCGCGCCCGCTCCGCTCCCCGCCGGGCTCACTGCGGCCGCGCCGCCCCCATCGCGCCCCGCTCCGCTCGGGCCGCCCGCCCCCGCACCGCGCTACCGCCGGCGGGGAGCGCCCGCCCCGGGGAGGGGCCCAGCCGAACCCCCCAGCGCCTCCCGGAGCCCCCGCAGCGGGGACGGACACGGGGATGGACACAGGGCTGGACCCGAGAATGGACACGGGGCTCCCCCGCCCCGGGGAGGGGCTGACCCCGAACCCCCCCAACGCCTCCCGGAGCCCCCGCAGCGGGGACGGACACGGGGATGGACACAGGGATGGACGCGGGGCTCCCCCGCCCAGGGGAGGGGCTGACCCCGAACCCCCGCAACGCCTCCCGCAGCCCCCGCCGCGGGAACGGACACGGGGACGGACACGGGGATGGACCCGAGAATGGACGCGGGGCTCCCCCGCCCCGGGGAGGGGCCGAGCCCGAACCCCCCAGCGCCTCCCGGAGCCCCCGCAGCGGGGATGGACGCGGGGATGGACCCGAGAATGGACACGGGGCTCCCCCGCCCCGGGGAGGGGCCGAGCCCGAACCCCCCCAACGCCTCCCGCAGCGGGGATGGACCCAGGGATGGACGCGGGGCTCCCCGGCTTGCCCCCCTCTCGACCCTCCCGCTGTTTTTTCCTTCCTATGCGAGCTCCCAAATCGGCCAATTTCTGCCCAAATGTGGGGTCGGGGCACGTCGCTGTCACCCCTCGCCTGCGCTGCCTTCCCTCCCCTCCCCGCCACAGGGAGCCCCTCTGTGAGAGGGCAGGGAACGGTGAAACCCAACCCCCGGCAGTTTATCCCGCATTGATTTGGTTGCACCTGTGCTAAAAGAGATTCTTTCCACTCTGGACGTGCCCGAGAAGACCCCACACGGGTGGGGAAGTGCCGTGGGGGGTGGGCAGCGCCCAGGAATCCTCATTCCCCCCAGGAATCCTCATTCCCCCCAGGAATCCTCGGTCCCCCCAAGGAAAGGGGGGTCCCCCAGAGCTGAGGAGCCAAACACAGCGGGCAGGGGCAGAGGGGAGGGAAACACCTGTCCCTTCCACTTTCCAAGGAAATACCGGCCCCAACAGCCCTGGCTGATGCTATATCCTTCCGTGGCAGCAAGTTTATTTATTTATTAAGCTATTGTTGTTTAAAAATAACAGCCAGCAGTTCCCACAGAAATCAACCTTGCTGGCCTCCCTCGAGAACTTTTCCCTTTTCCCCTAACAAGGGCTCCCACTCCCAAATTCATCACCTCCCACACACTTGCTAGAGAGAGGAGGATAACATTTCTGACACCGTGCCGCAGCACCGGGAGGAATGTCCAGGGCTCTGCAGCAGATCTGACACGGGCAGTGACATTTGGCAGCTCCCTGGAGCCCTGACTGGTTTAGCCCAGTCCCAGGGATGGCCTCAGGACGGACAGACAAGTGTCCTGCTGTGAAAGCAGCCTGGCCCACTGCAGGGAACGCTGCTGGCCCTGCTGACCACACCAAGAGCTCCCATGAGCCCACGGCTTCCCTGTGAGTCACCAGGCAGCTCTGGGGGCTGGGAATGCCTCTGCACGGACAGAGAGGCCCCTGGGCCAGAGCAGACCTGTCCATCTGGTCTGGCTGCCTCTGTCTGAAGCTTCAAAGGGCTCAGTAGTCACCGTTGAGCATCTCAAATAACCTCCCTGCAGGGATCCTTTCTCCAGGCTTCCCTCTCTTGGTGTCCTTATTAGGTATATGTGTCATTCCTGCGTGCTTTCACTCTCCATCCTCTCGAAAAGAAAATCTCTCACCCCTTTCCACAACGCTTCTAAGCTTCCCCAAAGACTCCTCTGGGTGAACCAAAGCTGAGGCGCTGCCAGTTCCCACCACAGGTGAGTGGCAGGAGAGGCACGTGGGAACACCTTGAGTGGCCCCTGCACCACATCGGTCCCCACATCCCCAGGGGGACAAGGGACCCTGTACACTGCCCTGCTGCTGTGGAGGGCACAGAGCGAGAGGGGACGACGTGACTCTTACTGAAGCTTAGCCAAAAACCATGAGTCTGAAGCAAAACCGTGACTCTGAAGCAAAACCACGAGTCTGAAGCAAAAGCAGAAGCTCCACATCCTGTTGCCCATGGCTGCCGTGAGCAGAGCACAGCTCACTTCCCCGCTCTGAAGCAGCAGAGCTGATTTCTGCAGCTGAATTTTACATCAGCTCCTCAGCGTGAGCAATGCTGCAGCAACATGCTGCAGCCTGACCTCATCCTCCTCCTGCCTCTGCTTCCCCTTCCCACCTCCCTGAGCCCAAGGAGCAGCTGAGGAGCTCTGCAGGGAGCTCAGAGGGGATGAGAAAGCTGAGAGCAGCAGGAGCAGCAGCAGGGATGAGCCACCCCTGCTGCAGAGGGAAGGAGCTGTGTGTGACCTGCTGGAGGAGGGAACTGGGGCACACGAGAGCAGGAAAGCATCAGGACCTGTCCTTGTGCAGGCAGTGCACACACACTGCATCCAGCCAGGAACCCCAATCCCACCCAGCACCCCGGGAAGGAGCCGGCAGGAACAGGATCAGCAGGACTGAACCCTGCAGAGCCCTGGGGCAGGAAGATAGCAGAGCAGTGCAGGGGCAGAGCCTGCTTCCACCTGCTCTTCCTGAGGAGCAATTAAGAAAATGCCTCGAGTGGCATTTTCCAGCTTGGCACCTGACCCAGCCTGGCAGCAGCACTGGCTGCAAATCACCACCAGGGAGATAACCTGACTTTGTCGGTCACACCGGAGGCTGTGCCTGCCAAACGCTGCTTGGCACGGTCAGCAAACGCAGCTCTGCAGAGCAGGGAGGATGCTGAGCTGTTTAAAAACACCTGGCAGCAGTTCCCAGGCTGGCAGAGAGGGGCAGCCCACACAGGCAGCAGCTGGACAGGCTGTCCTTGGCACTGCTGTCACTGTGCCCAGCCCTGCACACACGCAGGGCGATGTAGCCCCGCATTTCTCCTCGTTCTTCTTAAGAGTATTTCTGGGATTTACGTTTTTTGCACTCCAGAGAAAGAGAACACAATTTTTATAATGTGCCGTGCCTGTGTTTGTGCAAAAGTGGAATGCAATATGGAGATTGTTTACCCAAAGTCATGGGGTGTGTGTGTGTGTGTGTGTCAAGACTGTCAGGTGGCAGTCACAAGATTCTGTGCAGTGTGAGCAGTTGTGAGCAAGAGTGAGTGCATGGCAAATTCAGTTTAAATACAATGTACAGAGTGTAGTATAATAAAGTAATTCATTAACCTCCTGATATCCACAGAGTCAGATGCATCATTCCCTCTCCCTCACCAATGTCAGAGTCGCCTTTGATTTACAATGAGGCTCAGGGACAGGGATGTGCAGCTCACAGAAGGCTCTGAACTGCCTAAAACTCCACCCACAATTCTCACACTGCCCACGCTTTCCAGGAGGGGGACTCCAGCGGCCTCTGCTGCACAGAGGACAGGAGGAGCCCCAAGTATTTTGGAGCTACAAGAGCCCTGTCATCACAGAAGCTGCAAAAAGAAGCAAAACCTTGCTTAGTTTTTCACGTTTATCCTTGCAGGAAGCCAGCTGCATCCAGGGATAATGGCTCTCATCCACAAGGACCTTCCCTTCACACTGGGGATGAACTTCCTGCTTGCAGTCTGGCAGCAGAGCCTCTGCCTGACCCCAAAAACACGGCGTGCACAGTTCCTGACCCCAAAAACATGGTGTGTACAATTCCTGACCCCAAAAACACGGCGTGCACAATTCCTGACCCCAAAACACGGCGTGCACAGTTCCTGACCCCAAAAACACAGCAGGCACAGTTCCTGACCCCAAAAACACGGCGTGTATAATTCCTGACCCCAAAAACACGGCGTGCACAATTCCTGACCCCAAAAACATGGCGTGTATAATTCCTGACCCCAAAACACAGCCTGCACAGTTCCTGACCCCAAAAACACGGCGTGTACAATTCCTGACCCCAAAAACACAGCGACCTATATTCCGACCTATTCTATTGAGCAGGGATCAGCATTTCCTGCATGCAGCAGCACCTGGAGTATCCCGGGAGTTCCCCAGGTGAGGGAGCATCCCGGAGCATCCTAGAGCATCCCAGAGCATCCCGGGCGTTCCCCAGGTGTGGGGACATCCCAGAGCATCCCTGAGCATCCCGGGTACTCCCCAGGTCCAGGAGCATCCCGGAGCATCCTAGAGCATCCCAGGAGTTCCCCAGGAGCAGGAGCATCCCGGAGCATCCCGGGTGTTCCCCAGGTGTGGGGACATCCCAGACCATCCCTGAGCATCCCGGGTATTCCCCAGGTCCGGGAGCATCCCGGAGCATCCTGGAGCATCCCAGGAGTTCCCCAGGTTTGAGAGAATCCCGGAGCATCCTGGGCGTTCCCCAGGTGCAGCAGCATCCCGGAGCTTTCTGGGTGTTCTCCAGGTGCGGGAGCATCCCAGAGCATCCCAGGAGTTTCCCAGGTGTGGGAGCATCCCAGAGCATCCCAGAGCATCCCAGGAGTTCCCCAGGTGCAGGAGCATCCCTGAGCATCCTGGGCATTCCCCAGGTGTAGGAGCATCCCAGAGCATAGTGGAGCATCCTGGGCATTTCCCAGGTGCAGGAGCATCCCGGAGCATCCCGGCATAGCCCCAGGTGTGCCAGCCCCCCGGATCTTGTCCCGGGCACAGCGGCAGTCCCGGGGCTCAGGCGGGCTCTGCTCTCACTAGAGGGCTCCCCAGGATGGGTTTCCGAGCCTGCCAAGCTCTCCAGGCCCGGAGCGTGGGGCTGGCAGTGCCCCGGAGCTCGGGGCTCCTTCTGCTTCTCCTGCCCTTGGCACAACCTCAGGCTGGACACCCCTGGGCACAGCCCGGAGTGAGCAGAACGACAGACACCCGATGTCCTGGCATTGGAACTGGAATTGAAGGCAGACAAAACCATCTCAGCCTCTGCCGTCTGCCTGAGTGGCACAGCAAGAGCCCGGGTGGCACAGAGAGAGCCAGGGTGACAGA